GGAGCCACCCTGGGTGTCTGCAGCCAGCTCAGCCATTGACAGGGTGTCTGTGCTGAGGTTTTTGTGCAGGACACTGATGCTAGAAATATGAAAATATCCCAGTGAACAGCTCAGGGCAAAGGGAGAGGTCTGAATTTTTGCTGAAACGGAGTTGCCTGAGAACCTGGTGGATTTTATCTTCAGAGATTAGGGGGAAAATTGTGGCGACACCAGGGCTCCCCACACCTGTCCAGATGTGTAGAAAGCCAAAGAGTCAGTGAGTCTGTGGCTGCAAGCCCCCCCCCCATCCCCCGCTGGTCCCCAGGGTTGCCTCCTGGACTTGCACCTGGATGTTGAAGGAGTCTATGTGAAGCAGGTGGTCTTGAAGCAGTCGGCTGCTCAGACTTTGCTGGACTTCACTTGATAGAAATGCAAAAAAGTCAGAGGATTTGGCTTTTCATTCCTTTAGTCCTGGGACACCCCCACCCACCCACCGCACCCCCCACCCCCGCCAACTCTTTGGAATGGAGGTCTTCTGCTGTCCTGGGGCTGCTGACTAGGAGTGTCAGGTGCCCTGCTGAAGTGCCCATAGATGGGGCAAGGTAGGGGCTCCCATTGCTCTTCTAGGCTCTCCCTGTCCACAACAGCCTCTTCCCAGGGTTCCGGGTGGGAGAGCTCAGAGTTCAGACATGGGCCCTAAAGCCATTTTCAGATCACATGATTCCTAGCTCTGTGAATGATGATGATACAAACCTGGACAGCTTTTCTCAGAGAAACCCCACCCGCACAGCAACAGCTTTTTATAAGAAATGAAGACTGTGCCTTCTTCTGTCACTGGCCCACCCATCTCTCCACCAAAGGACAAAAGTGAATGCATCTCCCACAGGTGCCATGTGGGAGAAACAGTGTGAATAGGAATGGAATCTTTCCGTGAGAGCTCCTCACTCTGCCCCACCTAAGACATGGCTGTACCCATTTTCCAGCACCTAGCTGAGGTCACCTGCTGAACTAAGGCCCACCACTCCCACCTTGTTGGTTCTGCCACTTTCAGTTCTTACCTGCACCATTAGGGGACCAACTTGTTCCCACAGCTCAGGGGGAGAACTGTGGACCTCTTTGTGGGATACCTTGAAAGAGTGTTAGATTTAATTCCATCAGAACAACAAAGAAAAATGTTAGCCTACTTTCTATAATACAGAATTGTACATTAAAACAAACAAAAATTCATGAATGGCAAAAGACTGCCTTTTTAAAAAAAAAAAAAAAAGGTTTATTATTTGAAAGGCATAGTTACAGAGAGGCAGAGACAGAGACAGAGAGAGAGGTCTTCCATCCACTGGTTTGCTCCCCAGATGGCTGAAATGGCCAGAGCTGGGCCAATCCAAAGCCAGAAGCCAGGAGCTTCTTCTGGGTCTCCCATGCGAGTGAAGAGGCCCAAGGACTTGAACCATCTTTTATTGCTTTCTCAGGCCATAGCACAGAGCTGGATCGGAAAAGGAGCAGCCAGGACTTGAACCAGTGTCCATATGGGATGCCTGCACTGCAGGCAGCAGCTTTACCTGCTATGCCACAGCACCAGCCCCTAAAGAACTATTTTCAAATTTCAATGAATATTCTCTCATATGCAGTTTGTTCTTTTAATTCACTGAAGAATGTATGGAGCTAAAATATAAAATTTTGAAAAAGCTTTCCACTGATTTAGTTTTTTCCTAAGTTTAGAGTGAAATGTCAGCCAGGATCATTAACCAGAATTCTCTAGGTGGTTGATTTTAGAAGTTCCAGTGTGAGCCATTCATTTTGTTCTTAATGGCACTCTTCGTTGTGATTTATCCTGTTTACTTGTATAAGTTTTCTTTATCCTTTATTATTTGAGAGACACAGAGAGAGAGCGAGATAGACAAAGAGAGACTCCCATCTGCTGGTTTACTCCCCAAATGCCTGGAATAACCAGGGCTGGGCTGTGGCCAAAGCTGGGAGCCAGGAATGCAATCCAGTTCTCCCATGTGGGTGACAGGAATCCAATTCCTTGAGCCATCATTGCTGCCTCCCAGGATTGCAGGAAGTTGGAGTCCCAGAGCCACAGCCAAGTATGGAACTCGGGTCCTCCAAATGTTGGATACAGGCATCTTAACTGCTAGGCTAATCACTCACCCATCGCTGTATAATTTTTAACCTTTAGCTTAGCAAAATATAATATGTCTTCATTGTTCATGCCTCTCTCCCTACCTCAATGGAGGAGTATTTCTGTACCTTCCCCACCCCCACTACCAGCTTTGAGCAAGAGAATGAATGAAAACTATAGAGACATCTAAAACAGTCGTGGTAAAATTGAGTCTTATTTTAGTATTGGAAACCTCTGCCAAAAAGGAAATTCCTAAACAAGACGTTTCTACAGGGCAGAACTATGGATTGGAAGGAGCCTTGGTTCTAGTCCCAGCACTGCCACCAACTAGCTATGTCCTGCAGGCTGGTAACTGATTACCGCGTCTCTCAGAAATGAGATCCAACTAGTTGACTTTTAAGATCCAGTTCTGATCTTCAGTGATTCTGAGGTCTGCATTTCTTAATTTCCTGGATTCGAATCTTATTCGAAGTATGCCCTGTTTCCTGCCTTTCCGAGAGGCAGTGGCCCTTGCACGTGGCACCATTCCTGGAGCAGCCCTTGGCCCTGACCTTGGCAATCACCTGGTCAGTCAGCCATGAGGAAGATGGAGACGCCTGACTGCTTCCTGCCTGTCTCACAGGGGTTGTAAAGGCCACTGCTGTTTCACAAAGGATGAATTCCTCCAAGAAAGATCCTGCCTGAGTAAAATGTTTCAGCACTTCAGCTGTTAAGTATTGCTATAGCATCTAGGAATCACGAGGGATAAGAAAAGAAAGGACAGGGATAAGTATGCCTTGTATTTGTGATAATGGAGTAGAAAGATGACCTCGAAGCCCCCCAGGAACCCACTTTGATGCATAGGTGAAGACATAGAAAGCAAGAAAGGTGAGGTGACAGACTCAAGGCCACAAGCCTACTGAATGGTGTGGTTGAGGCTGGAGCCTGGTTCTCCTGGTGCCCAGCCCAGTACTCTCTTTGCCACATCAAAACAGGGGCATTTAATGAGAAGACTGCCTGGCAACACATGGATACGCAGGAGCACAGAGAAACCCCAAACTCCTGTCTTGTGCAGCCAAGGGAAGTCTGGCTTTCTTCCCCTGGCCGGGTGCCTGGCATAGCAAGCAGAAATGCCTGTTGACAAGCAGCCTGAGACTGAGCCGTGTTTGGGGTGAGGTGGGAGGGGGTGTCTGCCATCCGTGTCACTCGCCCTCCGTTATCAGCTTGATGGCCGGATTTCCGATCTCTGGTTCTTCCCCTCAGGGAGCCTGCTACACTTGTACTTGTTTATTCGATACATATTAATATCTGTGGGGCACCGGAGAGCCCGAGAGAACTCGGGATTTACAGGAGTCTTTGTCTTTTCCAAAAGATTTATTTTATTTATTTAAAAGACAGAGCTACAGAGAGAGGTAGAGACAGAGAGAGAGGTCTTCCATCCGCTGGTCCACTCCTCAGATGGCCACAATGGCTAGAGGTGAGCCAATCCAAAGCCAAGAGCCAGGAGCTTCCACTGGGTCTCCCACGTGGGTGCAGGGGCCCAAGCACTTGAGCCATCCTCCACTGCCTTCCCAGGCCATAGCAGAGAGCTAGATAGGAAGAGGAGCAGCCAGGACTAGAACCAGTGCCCATATGGGGTGCCGGCGCTCCAGGCCAGGACTTTAACCCACTGTGCCACAGCGCCGGCCCCCCTTTTTTTTTCCCAAAAAAGATTTATTTTATTTATTGAGCTTTTGTCTTTTTATTGTTGGGGATTCCTTCGTGTAATTATGTACAAAGTTTTGGGGCATATGGAAATGTGCATTTTTCTAAGGTTCTTAGCTTTTTTCACATCTCTTATTCTCAAAAAGTTGAGAACCCACCATAGTGGGTGTACACTAGAATTTTGCTTTGCGCTTCTGCATCCTGCTTATTGAGTTGAGACCACAGGGGCTGATAAAGTTTTTTTTTTTTTCTTTTTAAATTAGAGAGAAAGCACTCTCATCTGATGATTCACTCCCTGAAAGCCCACAATAGCCAGGACTGGGCCAGGCCAGCCAATAGCAGGGGCCAGGAACACAATCAAGTTCTCCCACATGAGTGATGAGAACTCAACCATTTGACCCATCACCTGCTGCCTCCCAGGGTGTGCATTAGCCAGAAGCTGGAGTCAGGAGCTGAGCCAGGAATTGAACCCAGACATTCTGACATGGGACACAGGCATCTTAATGCACATCTAACCAGTAGGCTGAATGTCCTCCCCGGAGCCCTGGTACGTTCTGTAGAATGTCGAGGGGCTGCGCCTCCCAGCCCAAGTCCACGCCCCGTCTTCATCTCTGAGTTCCACTTGAGCGTCTGCATTCTCGCAGTGTTGTAGCCCTGAGCTTCAGTAGGCCCTGGAGAAGCCACAACCTCAGTGTGTCAGCAAACTGCCCCCCAGTGCCAAGAAGGAACAGATGCTGGGCCACTTCCTGGCTCCCGAGTCCCTGCCTGTCCCACTGACTTTAGAGCCCCTGTGGAGGGGTAGCTTCAAGAATGTCCCATTTGTTCCTTTGAGAGTCTGGCCCTACCCGCTGCCTTGGGCACCTTGTGGCCTCAGAGTAGCCGTCTGGGGATCACTTGAGCTGTGTGGTTGTCCTGCAGTCAGGTGACATCTCGCCCGCCCTGCTGTGGTAGTGGTTTTGCAGAAGGAGGGCCAGCACATACATGCCTTTCCCGAGAACCTCGCCGTTAGTTCTGTGTGGCAGCGGGTACAGGAACCAGAAAGCGAACAGGGCTAGCGGGCAAGCTAGGGGCAGAAGGGAGGCTTCAGGGCTGCTGGCATGGCAAGGGAAGCTCTTCTCTTCGCCTGCTGGGTCTACCAGGGTATTATGGGCTGCGTGTGGGAGAGACTCACCTGCTCCAGATGCTGTGCTCAGTTCTGTTCTTTCTCCCGCTGTAGAGAGAAGACACGGTTCGATGTGTAGACCTTTTCCCTCTCCAACGTCTCCGGCCTCCACTCCCAAGACATCCCTAGCACAGGTGAAAACAAAAGCCTGTCTCAGCGGCCATAACTCTGCCAGCAGCACCTCAAAGCCATTCAAAACGCCCAAAGACAATCCACTTACCTCCAGCAGCAAACAGCACACGGTCTTTTCTGCGAAGGGATCACGAGATAAACCATGGTGAGTGCTGGACGCTGGCAGCCGGCAGCCGTCTGTCCTCGTTGCCTGTCCCTGTTACCATGGGGAAGAGCGTGTGTCCCCTGGCTTTGTTCCTGGGCATGTCATGTGCAGGGCTTTGGGGGAACTGAGGAGGGAGGGGACAGATGCCCACATGGTGCAATGAGAGTTCCAAATACAAGAGGGAATGTGGGACCTGGAAAGTGCCCAGTACCTGGCAGCTCTTGCAAACTGAGCCAAGTTATCTCTGAGAAAAGGGCAACCGGGAAATACCACTCAGCGACACCATCACCTCTCAGCGAGGGGTAGTCCTGGTGTCAGTTATCAAAGCAGGTGCTGCCAGGGAAGAGTGTGGCCTTGGGCACGTGGAGACAGGGTCCCCCCAGGGCCTCCTTGCCATGAACAGCCAGCTCCCAGCTTCCGGGGAAGAGCTACCAGCAGGGTCAGGAAGTTGGAGTTGAGCAAGGAAGCAAGAGAGGAAAAGCAAGGAGAATGTTACCCCTTGACTGTAGTGGGAGAGAGCTGGCTACAGGTGACTGTGAAAACCGAGAGGCCTTGAATGCATTTTTAAAATCCTCCGTGTTGACCAACAAGTCACAGAAGGTGGTCCGTGCAGTGGACAGTGGGAATGCAACCTGAAAGCCAGGAGGGTGAGCATGCTCCCGTGCTGTTGGCCGCCGCTGTGGAGAACTTAAGGACTAGCTTGTGCCTGCGCCACCGGCCTTACCCTTCAGGCCTCCAGGAGGCAGAGCAGGGATAAGTGCGGAGTCTGTCCAGTTCGTGTTCACTAACAATAGTTCATTACACTTCATATGTGGGAAACCATCCGTCCCTGGGTTTGGTGGTCCACGCTGGAAATGATGATGACTTAGGAAAGAGTTAATTCTGCCGGATCAGTTCAAGAGCCTCTTGTGATGGAATGGAAAGGTTTAGACTTGGCTGTGGAGGAGCGGAATGGCCGCCTGGGCCTCACGGTCAAGCTCTGTTCTCTTTCAGTTGTTGGGGTGGCGAGTCCCCACTGTGACGCAGCTGGCTAGGGAGGCTCTGGGCCAGCCCGCTAGCAGGGTGAGTCTCCCAGTCGCTGCTCTGCAGTCCCTCTTGTCTGTGACCTGGGAGCCTCCCTGAGAGTTTGCGTGGTGTCCTGCTGTAGGCACACAGGCTCTGGAATCGCAGCCTGTGCCCTTGAGCAAGCTAGTTGATATGTGGTGCCTCAGTTTCCTCATCTGTGAAATGGAACCAGCAGTAGCTCCACCCCATGGGATTGTTGTAAGGGTGAAGTGGGCTGATTTTTACAGAGCAGCCAGAACAATATGTCAGTCATAGCTCCTGGTCAATAGACATTTGAGGATAATGCTATCACTGTCATTATCATGTATGCATGCAGGACATAGCTCCCCTAGCCTGGGATGAGGATTGAAAAGGCAGGTCTCTCTAAAGAATTAGAGAAATGGCTCTTCAGACTCAGAGTGGAGATGAAAACAGAAAATAATCCAATAATTCCTGTAGAGTCCAGAAATGAAGTGCAGAGAAACAGTCTAAGGAAAGCCAGACAGTTATGGATGATTGTAAAATGAACTCACCTGGTTGAAGAGCAGGTGAGGGGTCTCACAATGTCCCAGAACATCAAAACGCACTTTCCAAAGAGAAGAACTACTGGGTTTAGGTTAATCTGCACCACCACCACCCCTAACTCCCTCTGCCAACCAACGGCAAGTCAACGCTCTTACACACTTATTAAGACCTGCTGCGGGCAACGCCCCTTCCATAAAGATAGAGAGTAGGTTTTAAAGAGCCCTGAGAACTACTGTCTAGCATCTAAAAACGAGTACACTAAAGGATTGCAGGGAAGGGCAGGTTTTGTGGCACAGTGGGTTAAGCCGCTGCTTGCGATAGCCACATCCCATACAGAGTGGTTTGAGTTCTGGCTGCGCACCTTCATTCCAGCTCCCTGCTACTGTATCCTGGGAGGCAGCAGATGATGGCTCAGGTACTTGGGCCCCTGCTACCCACAGGGGAGGCCCAGATAGAGTTCTAGGCTCATGGCTTCAGCCTGGTTCAGCCCTGGCTGTTGGGGGCATTTTGGAGGTAAGCCAATAGATGGAAGATACTGCTTTCTCTTTGTGTGTGTGCATGTCTCTCTCTCTGTGTCACTCTGCCTTTCAAGTAGATGAAACTAAATAAGCAAACTTTTTTTGTTTTAATTTAAAAAAAACAAAAAGGATTGCAAGGAATGAGAAAAAGGACAACTAGAATGCTACCTTGTATGAAGGAGGAAAAGCTAAGAGTGACTCACCTAACTTCAAGCAGGTAAACATTCGTAAGCAGAACGGGGCGCACCGTGAATGAGGCTGCACGATACACCACAGAGGCCTCCTGACTCGTCTCACCTCCTGTCTGTCTGGCTGATACCTGCCTACCCTCCAGGCGGATGCCACCAGCAGCACGTGTCAGAATCCCCAGGGCGGGGAGATGTGGCTTGGAAGCTCGGAGGGCTCAGCCTCAGTTCTGGACATCTTCCCCAGCGTGCAGTGTAGGAAAATCAGTGCTGAGTTAGGGGCTGGCAAACAGGGCCAAGTCCAGGCTCTGCCACTAACTTTCCATGTATCCTTGAACAACTCACTTCTCTGCATCTCATTTCCAAGCCTGAGTATGTTGTGATTCTAACTCACAATCCTCTTAAAAGTTCTGAGTTCCTCTTTGTACTGAATTAAGACTTAACAGTTTAGCCAAACGCAAGGGTCCCTCTAGGAATTGGCTCCAAACTCCCTCACCCCTGATCATCCAGCCCGACCCTACTATAGCTTTCCCACCATATCAGCTCCTGGAGCCTTTCCCGAGAAAATCCACCTGCCTCCACTTACTGTGCCATGACTTTTCAGATGTGTTTATTAATGTGAAAGGCAGTGACGGAGAGAAAGAGAAAGAGAGAAAGAGATCTTAGGCTGGCGCCGCGGCTCACTAGGCTAATCCTCCGCCTAGCGGCGCCAGCACACCGGGTTCTAGTCCTGGTCAGGGCGCTGGATTCTGTCCAGGTTGCCCCTCTTCCAGGCCAGCTCTCTGCTGTGGCCAGGGAGTGCAGTGGAGGATGGCCCAGGTGCTTGGGCCCTGCACCCCACGGGAGACCAGGAGAAGCACCTGGCTCCTGGCTCCTGCCATCGGATCAGCGCGGTGCGCCGGCCGCAGCGCGCCGGCCACAGCGGCCATTGGAGGGTGAACCAACGGCAAAGGAAGACCTTTCTCTCTGTCTCTCTCTCTCACTGTCCACTCTGCCTGTCAAAAAATAAGAAAAAAAAAAAAAGAAAGAAAGAGATCTTCTGTTTGCTGCTTCATCCTCCACATGCCAACAAAAGCCAGAACTGTGCCAAGTTGAAGGCAGAAACCAGAAACCCAATCCAGGTCTCCCACATGGGTGGCAGAGACCCAGATACTTGAAGCATCATCAGCTACCTCCCTTGGTGTACATTAGCAGGAGCTGAAATTCGGAGCAAAACCAGGATTCACACCCAGGCTCTCCAGATACGGAGTGGACATCCTAAACATTGCATCAAATGCTTGCTCCTAATGTTGAAGAAATTTTATTTTTTGACAGACAGCTGGCGCTAGGCCAGGGCCAAAGGCAGGAGTTGGGAATGCAATCCAAGTTTCCCATGTGGGTGGCAGGAAATCAATCACTTGAGCCGTTACCACTGCCTTCCAGGATCTGCATTCCTGGAGCCAGGAGCTGGAGGTGGCATTGAATGCAGGCACTCTGGTATGGGATGCAGGCATCTTATCCTGCAACCTAACCACTAGGCCAATACCTTCCCTCCTTCTTACTTTCTTACTTTTTTTTTTTTTTAAGTCAGAGTTACAGAGAGAGGCAAAGACAGAGAGAGAGGTCCTCCATCCACTGGTTCACTCCCCAGATGGCCGCAATGGCCGGAGCTGTGCCGATGAAGCCAGGAGCCAGGAGCCTTATCCGGGTGTAGGGGCCCAAGGACTTGGGCCATCTTCTACTGCTTTCCCAGGCCATCACAGAGAGTTGGATCAGATGAGGAGCAGCTGGGACTAGAACCGGCGCCCACATGGGATGCCCGTGCTTCAGGCCAGGGCGTTAACTCACTGTGCCACAGCGCCGGCTCCCCTTCTTACTTTCTTAAAACAATTTTTTTATTGTGGTAAAGAAAGGCTTGACATTAAGTTTACCAGTCTAATGTTTCCTTGTTTTCTTTGTCTAGCTTTTTGCTACTACTTGTCCTTCAACTTCAGCTGAAGTGTGACCTCTTCTGAAAACCTTTTCTGAGTCCGGAGCCTGTGTTAGGTGCCTGTCTCCTGTCTCAGCAATATCAGCCCTTATCACAGCGCATTCTGTGATGAAGAGCTTGTGCCTGTCCTGTTACAGATTCCCCCAGACAATATCTGTGTCTTTTAAAACTGTTTATCCCTAAGGTTGCAGAGTGCAGTTGTACAGGCTAAGCACTGCACCATTGATGCCTGGCTGAAGAAATGAGTAGGGGTTGGAGACCATTGGTTAATTGTGTACCTGCTGCTGCATCCAGGCATTTTCCTAATTTGCATAAAGGTGCCTGTGTATACCCAGTGCTTATTAATAGAATTGTCGCACAGTATCATAGTAGGTGCTCACTGTATGTTATCATGAGGGACTAGCATTGCTTGGGACTCCTGCATCTCGTATCAGTTCAAGTCCCAGCTATTCCACTTCTGATCCAGCTTCCTGCTAATGCACCTAGGCGGCAACAGATGATGGCCCAGGTACTTGGTTCTGTGCCATGGGCCCTGGCTAGTGCAGGCATTTGAGGAGTGGACCAGTAGATAGATGGTAGGTCTGTGTGTCTGTATGTCTACCTTTTAAATAAACAAATAATTTTTTAAGTTATATTAAAAAAAAAAGTAGGAATGTGCAAAAGTATTTGCACGTGAGGAACGGCAGGACATGGACCTGGGTGGTGAGCAAGGGCCAGACTGTAAAGTTCCACTGCACGTGCTAAATTCAGGAATTTGGA